ATTCTCTCTAACAGGACTTCTACTAAAAGCTCCAGCCATACCAAACGGACCCTAAATGGGGGGTTAGAAGGTCTTTACTCTATGTTAATTAACAATTAGCTACAAATTATATTTTAGTAAAGAAAAAAGCAAAATTTTGAATGTTAAATGTCAAAATCTCTTGTAAAATTACATAAATATTCTTAATAAATATTTTTTATATATTAATTCATTAAGAGTATTTCAATTTTTGCATTATCATTCATAATATTTTGAGTGATAAAATGTCTTAATTTTCCTCAATCTTTTGATAAATTTACATTTTTAGAAATAACATGATCAAGTAAATTAATGTGATTAAATCATCTTAATGAGATATGTTAGGAAAACTGGTAATTAATATATATATATATCCACCTGACTCTCCTTTTGCACTTGCAAACACAGAAATTAATAGAGAGAAACAGAAAATCTTAGCATTTTATTTAATATTTGAATATTGATGCTAAGACATCAAAGACCTACTGACCAGTAATTAATTCACATTGAGAGGCCCATATTTGACTGTACAAAATACAGATGGCATGGTAGTGCATGCTTAATTAGCGCAGCTATTTGTTTAGCAAAGGAAACGCAGGTGCTGTAAATGAAGCCCTCTTCACGAATCTCCCTTTCATCCTAGGCCTCTTCTCCGCATTAAGTTTCCGAACCTCGTACCTTATTTTCTTCGAGAAGAACCTTGTCCTCCGCTTTTCTCTGTACCTTGATACCCTTGCCTCCCTTCCTCCATCTCCCATTGCTGCAACATGAGCTCCAATCCCCACCAAATCACCATATGGATGGTGAACTTCTGTTCCACCTCCACCCTGCACATTTCAACAATTCCTGTATGTTCATTGTCGATATATACGCAGTTGTCACGTTGTGACTCTTTGTCAGAAAATTAGCAACCCGTGAGTAGTCGTGACACATGACTAGCTTTGTATGATAAGTTACCATATGCATAAGTTATATGAAGAAGGAATTGCGTACGTACCTTGCAGTCAGGCAAACACTCATCAAGATCAAAATCGGGCCGATCGCCGGTGGTCCACGGAGATCCTTGGCTAGCCCAGGCAGTAATCACCGCTTCATAATCCAACCTAAGCAGTATCTGTGTCTCCTTCTGTTTCGAACTCTCCTCTTCAGTGCTCTTCGTAGTCATCTCTTCCTTCACCAACTGATCCCCATCTTCCTCTCCACATGTTTCCGGAGACTCGTAATCAAAATTCAGCTCAAAAGACTCTCTCGCCATATCGGCCTCAGCATCATCGGCTTCAACACCCTCTTCCTCTTCAACCTTCACTAATTTACCAGTACTCCCTAAGCAACGCTCCTTCTCTTTGGAGTCAATCAAACCCAACTCTTCCATTCCAAACGACTCGTTTTCCAGACCCTTACCAAGTAAGCTCTCAACATCAGCAGCAAACTCCGCAATATCTGTATCCGAAGGAAAAAATCCATGTAAACCCTCGGAATCCTTGCTGCATCCTGTACCCATAAATATCTTGGCTTCTCTGCCAGCCACATCTCCTGCTTCGGCGTCGTTTACCACAGCACACGCCGCCGCTTCATTGGATGCAGTAGAAGTACAGAGTTCCGCAACAAATGGATCGTATATCGGCACCCTATAAAGCAGCTGCTCTTCTTCGTTCTCTTCATGGGACACCTCGTCGGCACCGACTTCAGGCACCAGAGGAACTGGATTATTCCGTGGTCGTTCGTCTTTTGGCTTTGTGTGACGCCGAGTCCTGGCTTTTCTGGTGAACCCTTTATGCCACAACGGCGGAGAGCTGTCGTGACGGTGCCGTTCAACACTCGTTGCTTTAAACGAAGATGTTTTCAACAGAACCCTTTCATGTCTACGAGCTAACGGATTAGCCGAGTGAACAGAAGAATCACATGCTTGACAAAGAAAAGCATCATCGGCGGCACAGTACCACCGTGCCCTTTTCTTTATACAGCTATCACAAGCCCTCGCCGTCTTGCCACCGACGGCGTTAGCCACATTTTTGTTGGAAATCATGGGAAAACTAGATTCAAAACAAAAAGTGGAGGACAGTGGTTTGCTTTTTATTGATTTCTAAGGAGACCCTTAACAAAGGTACAATTATTTTGGAAAAAATGATTGCTGCCCTACCTGATTGGACATATATTTTAATATTTATTTAATTTAATATTAAAAATATAATTTAAATATAATTAATTTAAATAATTTTTACATGTAATACATAATTATATTTTTAAATTTATTTATTTTTAATTTTAATTTAAATAATAATAATTTTTTTAATAAATATATTATTTATTATATTAAAATAAACTTTATACAAATAACTGTCCTTATTTTGAAAAGGATAGTGACGGTAATGGTATGGACCCGCGGAAGGCTCTTTTTACAGTGTCTATAACAGCCTTTTCCAGGGTACTTTTGGATGCGCTTTTGGTCTTTTCGGCCACAGCAAGGCCTTATCTGGATTTTTATTGGTTGAGGTGGTAAAGTTGATCCAGAGAGGAGCGTTCTGATTGGGTGAGTTTCTAATCAAGGGATTTCTCGTGGGGTCCAGAGTGGGGATGATGAGAATGAGCCGTTTGATCCCATATATTTATTTTTCTGTCCTAGTTGAGCAGGTGAGGGAGATGGTTTCGTTGCGTTGCCTCTCCCAGTTGAATTATACCATGCTCTGAGTCTCATTAGTTGAGTTCCTTTTGAGCGGTCCCCTTTGGGCTTTATCCATCATTCTCTCTTTGCCTTTCAAACTTAATTTGGCCTCCTCTGCAGTGTATTTCAGAGCGATATTGGGAAGCAACCAATGCAGTCTTGACCTTTAAGTAGTTCAATTTGACTTTCACCAATGTGAAAATTAGGGGGCATATAACTACATGTTCTTTTGTCTTGCATACTCCTTGGGCCCTTTTTAAGGGCAGATGAAATATATAATAAAGGATAGTCGTCTGTTAATGATATTTGATATTCCTTTAGCTAAAAATCACTCTTTTATTTCTTTATTCATTTACCTTTTATGCATATGATTCTAAGTTAGAATTTTCTTCTTTCATTTTAAAGAGATTGTATATCATTGGATTATTTGAACTCAAGTTCTTTACTGTTGAGAACTTGAAACACCTCTTAGGGCAAGCTTAACGTATAAGGGAAGTATTTATCTTTTGTTTCAATCAATTCACATCTAAAAAATCAAGGAGATATATTTGGTTTATACTTAACAACTTTTCTAATATATGCTCTTAATGTCAAAATTAATGGTATATTTATTACATCATTTTACCATTAATATACATTAAAAAATAAAAAATGACATCAAAATTTCAAATTATCCAATTAAAAATATCTATATGACACGAATGTTAAAATTAATGTTAACTTTTTTATATCCCTATGTAAATTAATGCATAAAAGGTATATTTAAAACATTTTTAATTTGTACCCAAAAAATACATTTTAGACAAACCTTATACTCAATCTTAGTTAATCTTGGTGACATGTGCTTTCAGAGATTTTTCTATTTTCTAGTTGAGTTGTGCTGTACCATCCTGTAATGCATAAATCATAGAAAGAGACAGCGGTGAGGGTTCAAATATGTGGAGTGAATAATGGTCAATATATTGCCAAATTATGAGAAGATAAGGGTTTAATTGGCAGGAAACATAAGAATTTGGGTTAAGGAATTGGATAAGATGATGTGGAGATTGCTTTAAAATCAAACCCATAGAACAAATTTTCGGCATGGATAAGGCAGTCTCGTGGGCAGACATCGACCCTCCTTGGCCTGAGCATGAGCCTGACACTGCACTAATGTGCAAAATACAAAACTGTTGTGTTGCTCAACGCTTTCTTTTATTTTATTCTTTCCTCCTCTTATTTTACAAAAAAGAAAACGCTTTAATAACAATTACTTGATATTAAACGAAATAAATGCATATTAATTAGATTACTTACTCCATCTTGTACAAGATAAAAAGGAACTTGATACAATTCCTGGAACATAGATTCTGAGGTGTCGTTTTCATAGTCCATAAGAGCCCAAAGATTGTGGTCCAAAATTGAGGATTGTTTGGGCCAAAGTCCAAGATTGTGGGTAATTAGAACAAAAGCGGCCAAAAAACCCTCACTAATATGATAACTGAATTTGACAAGAGCAAGAAGGGCAAATTCGTAAAAGAGCGATGTAGTCGGTGCACAGCGGCGGCTTTGCCTCTGCTTCGCTCCTCACTCCACCGTCGTTAGCTTCTGAAGATCACAGTTGATCGGAGACTCATCGATTTCGAAACTTCCACCGCTTCTCACTGTAAGTGATCTCTTTCCTCCGTCGCACCAACACTAGGAAGTAATGGAGAAGATGTCGTTCGAGTGTGAATGTTTCCGTTCCTAGAATGACTTCCTTCCCGTTGACTGAGTTCCGTTGGTGGAATTTTCTCCTCTTATCTGTAGAATGCAAATTTAATATCCTTCTTTTCTTCATCTTACCTTTGAAATTTTGCACAATCGTTTGAAATTCTTCGTTTAATAAATTCGAGAATTACATCATATGATATTTTCCCAAGAGTATTCTTTGAATATTGGTGGAAGAATGACTTTGGATAAGGTTTCGATCAATTAGCATGCACCTTGGCAGTCTGTAGATTTAGTATTTTGTAAGACTAATTAGATTGACAGGTCTTTTGTGAGACAATTTAAGGTCCAAAAAGTTGACATTTTGTTTTAATGCTTATTACAAGCAGAAGTACTTTAAGGTGGAGAGAAATTTGTGAAATTATGTTATTGGTAGTTTGTCAAAAAGAGTTGTTTTTTTTATCAATATAGTACTGGACCGATAATTGGCACAGTGGTGTGATTTTTGGAATTGAAGACTATCATAGGAAATGTGAAAGTACATGATATTTGGATAGGTTGCAAGTTGGGAATGAACAACTAAGTTCCATGAGGACAGGAATTGATGGTATGTGCAAGGAGCTTGTTGAGGCCAGATCTGAAAATGGATTTGTATTTTCGTTTAAATCAATGCATGGGATCTGAATTATTCTGTCTCTTTATCTTCATCTGTTTGAGAGAAAAAACATAGTAGGATTACTATCAGATGACATGTTACATGGCTGCAAAATGCCTCTTTATGCAAAATGGAATTGAGCCTGCATAGTTTTATAGGAGAGATTTTGAATATGAGAAAAAAGCCAATGTGGAGCAAGCTGAAGAGAAATTAGCAATGGAGAGAAACTTCATTTCCATGTCTCATGAAATTGAGAAGCTTCACCTCAAACTAATGAGTGCCGACAGGAGAGCACAAGGGCTTGGTATTTCTCTCTTTCTCATTGTTTTTCTCATTCTCCTTCTTTATAGTGCAAGTTTATTATCAGTATTACTACCATCAGATCGGTGGGAATCTAGTGAAAGTCTGTATGAAATCAATCTTTCACATTTATATAGGTGATCATGCATTCTATAATGGAAGCCCTGAAACGAGATGCTCTGGTGGATTATTTGCCAATGGCTAGCTTGGTAGCTGAGAGCCATACCATAATTGTGGTTGTCATTGCTGTTGATTTCATTTGGAGACATGCTCAGATGCTTATTAATGTTGGGGTGGCAATATGGCGTACTGAGTGCTTCTTCTTCAGAGTAGACAACACTCAGAGTGAAAGAAAAGAACTTAGCTCGGGCAACATTATTCATTTTCTGTCACTTAGAACCAAAGCTTCTGTTGGTCTTGGTTTTTTCTTCATTCTACACAGTATTTGCTGACTGGCTTAAAAAGAGGTACAGATACAGAGTGGAAATCTTTCAATATGGATGAATATAGGCTGGGGAAGGGAAAAAGAGAATTGTTGTTGATCTGATTTTTTCTGTGGCTTGATTTAACTCATATTCTTTATCACTTAAAAATGTGGAAATGGTATTAAGGGATGTAGCTCAGTTCTCTATTTTATGTAATCAGTGATGGAAGCGCTCATCTGATTTGAATTTGATGCAGTTTGGCCTCCTTAGCATATGTTTGCCTCTTCCACCAATCACTGCCTTGTCTCTACAAAAGCAAAAACAATTTGCTGCTGCTGAGGGACACACTATATTCGACACTGATTCTAAAGAAAACATTTTAGATTGGTGTATGCTATTTGGAATTTGAATTTCGTTGGTTTCCGGGATAATGTAGTGAATTACAAACAATTCATGAGAAAGATGAATTAGGAAAAAAAAAAAAGGAGTTATTTTATTAACTAAAATGAAAAATAATCTATGGACTACAATAAATACTGGGGCACAAATTGAACTTGTAATGACCAGAGGCTGGAAGCCTGGAAGAGATTTGAAGTTATCTGTAAAGCTTTGAATCCCATGACTCTTGTTAACCAATCATGAACTTTCTCTCAGAACCTTGGAAATGGCTCTAATTGTGGATGGTGTTGTTCGGCAACAGCCCCCAATCAGTTTAGCTCCTGCATCGTGCCATCTTGTTGCAAATATCTCAAATTTGTCATCTCCAAAACACTGTGATGGCTGCTAAATTGAAAGCATTAAGAAAATAACTCATTAAAATTTGTCTCATCTCTAAGGAAGAACTTACAGAACAAGAAAATGTGACTCACCAGCCATCTCTTAGCTCTTCCATCCCATATCTCCCCACTATTTGGATAAACAACTATAGCCTTTTGAGTTAGCTGAAATTGACGAGAAATTTCAATCATACTTTATAATACTACAAAATTAAATGCCGAATTCATACCAAAAAAAAAAAAAAAACAGAAGTCTTGCTGCCTTTATTGATTAAGTGTTTTACCTCCTTAAATTTCCGGATGAGAGTTTCAATAAAATGAGGGGGTGCACAATTTATTCCAACTGCATTTACTTTGTTGCTCTTGTTTAATATCTCAATGCATTCCTTGAAACTCTCTCCTGATGGAGCATTCTCACCGTCTACAGAACTGAAGCATATCCAAGATGGAATTTGGACATTTTCTTCCTCAAGCAACTCAGCACAGGCCTGAAAGGAATAATATGTTAAGAAATTCTGGTATTTGACCCAAATGAATACAGGGTGTTTGGTCCTTGTACAAAGTTTGTATAAGAGCAAACCTGAGCTTCAAGTTTATTAGGAATGGTCTCAAAGGCAAGCAAGTCTGGACCTGCATCAACCAGAACTTGCAATCTGCGCCGATGAAAATCTTTCAGCTTATTCAGATTCACATCTGGTCCATAGCATCCACTGAAGGAAAAGACAACAAATATAGATAACAAGATTATTCTAATGCTATGAGATCTAAAACATGTATACTATAAACCAGATAAATTATCGTCATTTTGATTATTAAACTGATTGTCCTACCTGTATTCTGAACCATCCGCAAGGTAAGCTCCATAGCTACCAATAGAGGCTGCAACCAGAGCTCGGTTATAGCTCTTCCCAGGGACCTTTCCATTGGCATCCCAGAATTTGTCCCGTGCTTCCACAGCCAATTTAACGCTCTTCTGCAGTAATGACTCTGCTTCTTCAGTTGATAGCCCTCTGGAAAGGAACCCAGGAATTGTAGCCTGCATAGATAATACCAATGAATCAACCAAATGCATCCATTGCCCAGTGAATTGCACATCACAAAAGAAACTAAAGCAGGGCACACAAAACCTTGGAAATTTCTTCCAAAAATGATTTGAGAAGACAATTTAAACAAAAAAGAAAAATTTTTGACAATATCAATTAGTGAAAAAATTGTCACAGTTGTTCTCATACCAGCAAAGATGCATTAAAAAAAATGCATTTATGCACGAACCTGATAAGATGAAGTAACTAAGATATCTGCCCCAGCTTCCAGGTATTCGAAATGAACCTGCATGTATTAAAAAAACTGACATTAATCATAGTTTCAAAACCCAAAGATACATTAAGATCAACTGTTCGACGTAATGCGCGAGAGAGACGGAGGAAGATGATGGTTACCCGCTGGATGAGATCAGGGTCCTTGATCAAGCATAGAGCGCTCCAGAGTGGGTCATTAATGGCAGCGCCGTGACTTTCGAGCTGTGTCGCGAAACCTCCATCGATGACAGCACAACCTCCGGCTTTATCTATCAAATCATCCAACAATGTCGTTCCCTTCTTCAATCCCATCTCTGTTTCTCCTCTTTCTCACCCTCTACGCACTGTAGAGCCGTTGATCCCTATCTCTCCTTGAGAGATTTTGCTAGAGAAAAAAAACACGAAATAGGGCCTTGAAAGACGCCGATGACGAGACCTTATATCCGGGGGGTGTTACGAAGACTTTCGAGTGGTACGGGGTTTGAATTCAACAGATCATTCCGGCGTTTATTATAAAGATGAAATTTTTTGGTTGGTGTAGTGATTTTAGTATTTTAATTTTTACCTGTATTAGGCTCTGTTTACCAAAAAAGAAAAAAGAAGGATTTTTTAGGCTTCTTTTCTTCTCCATCTGAATACAAATAACCCGTCCAAGTACATGGAAAGAGGAATTTTTTGTTTTCATTTTCCAGAATTTATAAAAATAAATAAAGAGGTTTGTCAACATTTTCTGCATTTGTACACAACCCAATAG